ACTTGATGATCTTGGAAGGTCTTTTCCAACCTTGATAATTCAGTGATTCTGTATTTCAGAGTGAGAAATCAAGCAAGTGTCACCATCAACAGAAGTTATTAATCTAATGCTGGTTCTTTGAAGCTGCCCACTCAGATTTTATGTTGTACTCTCATTTATCAATTAAGAATTTTCCATCTTAGGGTTTTCATCAGTTTCTTATCTGACTTGCTACCAAGACCATCTTGGTTCTTTGAATCTTCCCTCATACAACCTTGTGGCCAGTGTAAAAAGCATCTATAAATACAGAGAAAACTATTAAAACTCTCAACATGGTGTACAACTAAGGCTTAAGTGAACATGAAAACAGCCTAAGTGGGGAAAAAAGCCAAGTGTGAAGGAACTGGAAAAACAGAGGCCACTACACAAGACAGTGTTGCTTTTCAGCACTTGAATAGAGAGCTGTAAAAGCAGAAATGTGTATATATCACAATCAGGAAGAAAAACCCACTTCCCTCATGTCTTGAAAGGAACTTGCTACCAGTGGAGTGAGATATCTTATCAGCTCCTAGGCAGGAGAATGCAGTGACAAAGCACCTCTGGTGTACATCAGTTGTTCTTTTCTCCCACTTATACCCTTTTGAAAAGGCTGAGACCCACAGGTCACATCTATTGCCTGGATACACTTAGTTACCTATGCAGAGGTTACAAGTAACTGACAGTTACATATGGCTAAAGTGGCTCAGTTGCAAAAGGATAGCAACTTAACTGCTCAGAGTTGGCATCAGTTATAAGTACATACAGGAGCTTAGGTTCTCTCCTGCATAAAGTTTTATTTCTCATACAGTTTCTTACCCAAAATCCTCCCTCTAGACCTCCATAGATCCATTCAAATTAATCTAGTTACCCTGTACTAAATTCCCCACCAGCCCTTTCAGACTAGCTTTTTACTCTACACCCTAGAATTCCAAGGATCTCCCCAAAGCCAGACTGCTGCCTACACCACCCATCTAGGTATTCCAATCACTACAATACAGAGACAAATAATTGGATTTAGCTGAACTGTGTTCTGAAAGATCAGGAAGTTTAGATATTCACTACAGATAGCATTAGACAGATGAAGTCTCTATCCTTATGGTTAGCATTGGACATGAGAACAGCTAGGCTGAACTACTAGGCATTTTGACTGTTCCATGTTACACTTAGGATTCCTGAGTGATTGTGTTAAGGAAAAGCAAAACTTAAATGCTAAATGTTAAAAATGCTAGCACACATTTTAACGGTAGTCAGGTCATACCTCAACTTTCTGTTGTTCAGCTAGAAATTCTTCTATGGGAACATAATGATCTTCAATTTGTTCCATTGCACACATATATGCATGTTTCTTGATGGCCTCTTTATACATTTCAAATTTGCTCTCCAGTTTTTCTTCAAAACTGTCTTTCATATCTTCCAAGCGGTTGCTGAGGAGAACATACTAGTTTTATTTAATGTATTAGCATTCCAGCTATTACAATTTGTCTACATGTGTTCAACTGGCAATATCAAAGTTATAATCATAAACTGTGAAGTTAAGGAACCAAGTAGTAAGTTTTTCCCTTTTCTTCTTTTAATTCTCAATGATCCTAAGGACTTGCACCACAACATAACTTCTACTTGGCACATGCCATAGTAAATGTCACAGAACACATACTTAGGATAGGTCAAACAAAGTTCCATTAAAAAATCTGCTAACATCTAGTGATAGATATAGATAGATATTACTAGACCAAATTAGACCTGATATTTGAAGCATATTTCTGGGGGAGTGTCTTTCACATTGCTGGGTTGTTTTGGTTTTTTTTCCATGAAAGATATATGCCAAATTCACTCGGCCCTATTATTTCAGTACGTTATGCCCCAGCAGTGACACAGAACATCCCTCAACAGACAGAAAGCAGCACTGTTGCTTCAGGTCTTTGGCCAAAGGCACCCAAACAATTTTCAAGTCAGTGCAGGTGTTAAACCATAGTGTGCTCAGCTGGCCACTTAACTTGGGGTTAGTCTCTGTTAACAATTCAAACATCAGGAGACAGATCTCAAAAAGAGTTAAGAGGAAGTTAATTCAGCTTAAGCAACCTGGACACACTTGGAAAAAAAAAAACCCCAACTTAATTACATCAGTGCAAGCAGCCACAGTAATTTATAAGATAGTAAGCTAACAATGGATCGTATCATCCAGGACGAAGAATCTAGGAGAACTCAAAGAAATAAAATTCGAACTCCACCTTAAGCCCATGCATGCATATTAACATGACCAAGTATAAGTTCTGGAACAATCACAAGCCTCAGTGATATACCTGTAAGTCTTCCACATCTGCTAAATACTAAAAACAACTCAGGACAATCTCCAGTAATAACAAATTAAACAGAGAAAAGTTCAGCAGAAAGCAGCATTACTTTTTCATTGTACATGGAAACAGGCTGATCTATACAAATTTATTTTAGTGTTCCTTCTTCCTTTTTCATCAGAAGCTTTGAAACTGTCCAGCCCCAACTTCTCTAAATAACACAAGTATGTCTTGCATATACATGTATATGTATATACATAATAATGTATGTATATATGTATAAAAGTATGCATTTATATAGGTGGAATCCTTTCAGTCTTCATGAGGGCTGTACTATAACTTGCCTCCAGGCTTCCTCTGTTTCCAACAGCTGTCGAAACATTGCTTCTGCCATCTCTTTACGTATCTTCACCTCCAGAAAGAGTTTACTTTGTCTTTCTGCAACTAGCCTCTGCTTTAGGTTCTCTGTAGTTTTCAAGAGATCCTAAATTTAACATATTTCAGTACAGAACACAAGTTAGAGACACATCTCAATAAATTACACACTCATCCAGACAGCCATCCACACAGGGAATTTCTACATTCTGCAGCAAAGCTTCTGTTTTTTTCAAACATGAATTTCTATTGCAAAGACAACTTTTCTCCATCTTGGTGGCTTCTGCTATCAAAAAGTTTACTCATGTTTTAGCATTTAAACATTAATCTGTACAACAATTTAACAAAGCCTACTTGATTTTTACAGTTTGCTATTAGATAGTATAACTTGGTATTTAAAATGCTGCATCCTACTGCATTCCTACTGTTTCCAAAAAACTAAATACTGTTGTTTTAAACAAGTATAGCATTTGACCTAGCTAGAAAGCCACATGTGGCCTTCCACAACTACATTTATTCCCTCAGAACCAGACCACTTAAACTTTAAGTCTGCCTGACACTGAGCAGAAACTTATAGTTCTCATTTCCAGCACAACTCTCATGGTAAAAGTTTCTAATACCAGAACTAATAGCAATAGCTTGTTTGGGTGCAATTTTGAGTAGATGTGTGTCTACCTCATGACTCAGAATGGTGATGTCCACTTCCTCATCTGCAGAGGTTTCAGTACTGTCAGGAAAGTCATCTACAGACGTGTTCGCATCAAAGTGCACGATAGGTTTGCCATTGCCTCCATCTAGCTTGGGTGGAAAATAACCAAAACTTTTGGGTAGGATTGTCTGGATTACCTGGAAAACCAAGAGTTGAACACACTGTTTTATCAATGCTAGCAATATTGCAGTTATTTAGTCTATATTTAATGATGACAAGATATGAACAAAATTTTACATGCCTTTTAGCCTTCAATATGAAGGTAAGACTTTGGTACTCTAACAAAGTGAGAATGGGGAAGATAACTAACAAACTTAGTATGTTTGTCTACAAAGGTGTTTTCTCTCCCCCTAAAATACAAGGTTTTGGTGTCATTTTCTGGAAAGTTCATGAAAAGCAGCAAATCTCTAGAACATTTGCTCCTTCCTGAAATACTATGACCCAGATTCAGCAATTCATGCTAGTTAAAATCTTTATGTAAGTATATATGTCATAGGACAACAAATCAGAGAAGCTTGTTTCCTCAGTGCACACTCTTATCTTGATGAAATTTGCAGCTGAACAGAATTAGAAAAATCTCTCTCTGAGATGACTTTAGACATACCATTACAGACTTGGAATGTGTCAGAATTAACCCATGGTTCCAGACTAGAAAGGGACTTTATTTCTGCTATGGAAAACAGTACAGTCCTCCTTGCAAGAAGCAGCTTCCAGGGAAGCTTGCATGAAATGAAGACCAAACATCAATGCCAAGTCCTCAGATTAGTGGGAGGCTGACAAGCAGAGCTAGCAGAAAGCATGAAAGATTTAGCAGAGGGGTTTTTGCCTTCAAAGGAGAGGAATATGCTATATTTAAGCATTCACTTAAAAAAAAGTCTTCCCTTCTTGTTTGTTACTGATTACTTGCCCTTAACCAAATAGGAGCAATGTGGGCACAAGAGATCTTAGTCAGACCACAAAATAACAGGCTACTTCTTTTACTACTGCCACTAGCTGTGCAAGAAGTTTTAAACAACTGTCATCTTGTACAACAGATGCTTAACTGCACACAGGTTAAACAATTCATCAAAAACTTGAACTGAAGTCTTGCATTTGCTCAGATATATGGCATAAGCAGTCATATCTGAAAGTTCTGTCTACTTTTTACACAGAATGTTTGTAGTGTAGAACTGAACAAGCCACAGACAGATGCAGCTATTCTTGACTTCTTACCACTAAGAGGTTTGAGGATGGTAAAGGCTACTAGGAAGCCTTTTAGAGGGAAGCCACATGCAGAAGAATTAGTGTGATGCATTAGAAGTCCTAATCACACTCAAGTCCACACAACCTAATCATTTTGCAAACCTGTACTAAGAAAGAAGACAGAATAGCAGAGAAAGTAGATCCACTCTTACCTGCTTGGCTATAGCTGAAAATTTCATTACGTGTAGTGTTTCATCATATGTGGAAGCATGCTGATTAATGTTTACAATCATACATACTTTGCCTTTGCCACAAAAGAAGGGCTGAAAGAGACGAGTCAGTTTGCTCTCTCTGAATGGAATATAGCTTGGCTTCAACCTCATGGAAAAAGGAGACATGTTATTAAATTGTGAAATAAAAACCCCATAAGGCTGTGCAATACCACAACTTAGCTTATTTCTGTTTCTTTCAGGAAACAGATGCTGTAGGATGCTCATATTTAAGCCTAAGCTGTTTCACATCAAAGAGCAAGGTCTTTCCTGGACCTCTCCAACAAACTGAAATATTTAAAAATAAAAGCAGCATAGTGTGTGCATCACAGTTCCCTGGTGCTACACAGCAGATACTGGAACAAATCAAAAGCGACGTACAGGACATCTATCAGTTATCTGATTAATCTACCTGTATAATTTGGAGGTAGAAAGGAAAAATTACACAAAATGGGAACTCTGTACAGAGTGCATTGCTCACACACATACACAGTAAAAAAAGCTTGGTGATTCGCTGCTAATTGCCTGTTTTATTCTCCACATACAACAGTTTTAGAGAAAGAATGTTCAAGAATTTCAGTGACATCTTTAATAAAGAAGGCTTACAAGATTTTATATATTTTAATTTTCCTCTGATCATGTGAGCCCCCCACATAAACTGACTGGATGTGTTCCTGTGTGACCTGCTGTAGATGACCCTGCTTTAGCAGGGAGGTTGGACTAGATGTTCAGAGGTCCCTTCCAACTCTGCCCAGTCTATGCCTGTGCCTGTTTTCAACCCAAAACTCATGTTGTTTACAAATTGTCACTTACTTTGGATTTTGATTTTGCTTCAATGCCGCGATGCATTTTCCAAGGATATGAAGAGAATTATTAATATTTCCTGCTTCTTTTAGTCTGTCTCCAAAGGCTTGTGTTTTATTACACCTCTCTGATCCAGCCAAGTCACAGAAAGACAACCTGTGTGAAAGAATTATCCAGAACACACATGCAAACTTGTTTCTAAACAATATGAAAACAGCACTGAATGTCATCTGTATTTACAGGTCTAAAGTATAAATGAGTGACTCATTTCAGCCTACCTAGATGACAGAGTAAGTTGTACATTAGTGTTAATGTTTTGTCCAGAAGGTATGTAGGATAATGGCACTAACCTACCTATCTTTCCACTGAAAAAGATTGCTGCTCATAGGACACTGTCTATTCAGCACATTAAAACAGTCTACTTGTACCATAACAATAAAACTTTGTAGGCATTCTTACATAAATAATTCTGCTTAGGACCTCAAATTTAGTTATCCTAATGTAAGTACTTCTAGAGGAATTTCTGAAACAGTTTCTCCTAGTGGGGCTACACTACAGAAGCACTTGGACAGTCACCTTCACCAGTTCCAGCACTTACAGGATTGCAGGACAGCAATATGCTTCAGTACTCTGCAGTTTGACTCTTTTTGATGCAGAACCATTTGCTCATTATTGCAAATAAAAGGCCAGAAGTTCTTCCCAAATCATATTAGAGCTCTTAGCTTAGCTGTAACAATTATGCGCTACTGAACTCAGGCCTCTGAATTTCCCCTCATAGTACAACAGGTTTTAGTCAGGGACAGTTATCCTGGATAATCAAGGAATTTAATCACTTTTACTTTATATTAAGAAAGTCCCTGAAATACAGGAAGCTCTGGAAGATTGATAATTTACATAACCCTACTATTACTCACTTATACATACATTTATTTACATAAAATAACACCTTTGTAAGATCATAGCCTTTCACACAGCTGAAATAAGTACATATTAACACTATACATATTTATAAGACCTATTTCAACTGTGTGAAAGGCTATGATATTATCTTTAATCTTTTCAGTACAAGATGAAAAGCTTTTTTCTTCCTTAAGCAATGTACACATTGTCATTCATCTCACAGCTGCTGCAAGCTTTGCCAGGGGAATACACCAAGACAAGGAAGGCAAAGGAAGAGAGATTCAGTTGTTTCCCCAAGTTATCTTTCCTTAAGAGTATTTATCACCATAACATCTGACATTAAAAGGTGTTATCTCAATGAGGTATATTTATTACTATCTCTGCTCAGCAGAGAGGAGAGAAATCAGCAGGAGCTAGGACTGAACTAAAAAACTGTTACAGCAGTGTCCTCATTTTTCCATATAAAGCTAAATGGACAACCAGAGAAAAAAAAACTGAAAAAGCTATTTAAATGGCTCAAAACCCAAAGACTAGACCACTTCTTCTAAATCAGAAAAGAACAGAGAAATGTAAGGACTTCACACTGCTCTCACTGGGTGCACCTACATTAGCATTTAACATCAGGAGAACAGTTTTTAACCAGGTCACCTCATGATCTCCTCTTACTGTAGACTGGTACCCTGGAACAGTCCCAGAGCATGCCAACTGCATGCTTTTTAGATGATAGATTTGAATTTGTGTTTCTGTCACAAACATTCAACTCATAAAATCTAGTCTGATCCCAAAGCAGAAAGCACTGGCACAACTTGCACTTGGGTCTTTGGCACTAACTGCTGCACTCAAATTTTGGAGACTGGCTTCTATCAGCCAGTCATTTGACTTCTGCTTACCAGAATATACAGTGTGGTATTATACAGAACTACTCTGTCCCTACCTCCCTATTGTGTAACACAACATACATATGTTTCCCTCAACTTATGTACTGCTGATAAAGAGTTTTAACAGGTTCCTTCAGTCAAACCTTAACAGAACAAGAGAGACATGGAAACACTTCTATGCTTGTCCCTGTCATGTTTCCAGTCAGTTTTATACAGTCAGTGGAGCTCTGATTTCCTTCTCAGATAATTTGTTTATTAAAAGAAAGTTCACCAGTTTAGCATGCTTACACCTTACCAACTTTTCTAAAATATTTACATTCTGGTAATCAGCTGAAGCATTCACTTACTCTGAAACTCCAAGTACACACGGCTGATGCTCATCAGTTAGCCTTAGTAGCCTGATTGAAAATATACTGTGACTGGAATGGAAAAAAGTCCTTTTTAGTAACCACAATTATTAAAATTAAGGAGTCACTGAAGCAAAGGAAAATGTATATGCTACAGAAAGTGAAGTGCTGAAGAAAAACAATAATTCATTAATGAATTTACATTAGTTACCTTTGCAATTTGCTCATTTAGCAGCAAAAAGCAGCAGTAAAACTTGCATTTTGTTACTTCCCGTTTCTTTCAATACAAAAAAGGGGAAAATGTCACATGAAGACTACAAGATGTCTCAGATAGTGAACAAGCCAGTTCACTTAAGTCTACAGATCAGAAGAGTACTCAGGTACTAGTAGTAAACTTCAGACAGTATCTGAACTCAGTAAATTTGGAGAACTTCTTAGGAATAAATAGGTGGTAGGGGAAGGGAGAAAGTTAAGATTGGTTACACTGGTTACTTCGCCATACAGTTACTGGTTCAGTTTTGAAATTACTCTTTTCTAGAAAGGTTGAATCTGTAACACTTGATTGTGTTTTAGACATCAGAAGATAAAGGCAGTGGACATATGCTGTTTGAAACCAAATGGCAGTTTCTAGAATGAGGACCACCCTGTCCAAGTTGACCCAGTAAATCTTGAAGCACAGAAGACAACCTTCTCTAGTATAGATTTAAAGCAGTGATTTATGGCACAGCACCAGTGCAAAATTTAAGAATTAAATTGGGGAGGGGGTAGGGCAGTGGCACGCAGGGGAGGAACCAAAGAATGCACCAAGAACACATGCACCCAGCAGCATCTAGACAATCTAGCAGCACTGAAAGGTACTGGACAACTCATTTCTGCTTCCTACATCCCCTACTGACAGACTCAGTGTTTCCTGAAATTATACTGCCAGTTATGAAGAATTATCCAGTATTTCCTTCAACATCCTCACACAGCCATACCCACTCAGCACCATTAGCATTTGCCAAGATGTGTAGCACTGCTGGCACTCAAAAATGAATGTGATTCGATCTTTTTGGTTTTCCATAGCCACAAATAGCAACCCAAGTCCAGCTACTATTAAAGTCAGAGGGCTTCTCCTAGCTTTCTTCCAGAAATAATTTCATAATAAAACCAGAATAACCAAAGAAAGTCTTAAGCTATTATTGAAGAGTGGTACATTTTAAGTGTATTCTCAAGTGTTTTCCTCCCTTCCCCTCCTCCCTCCCCTTGAAAGGAAAGAGACAGTATGATTATAATTAGAAGAACAAACCTTCTACTTGATTGCTCATTCATTCTTGTACAAGCAAAGCTTCGGTTCTTGTTTCCTATTTTTAGTAATTTGCAGGCTTCTTCAGTGCTCTGAATGTTAATCCACTTTAAGTCTGTGAAAAGAGACCGTTTTCACAGACTTCTAATCATCAAAAAATTTCTGTGAAAATGCCAGGGTCATAAAACAGTATTATTACCTTTAATGTAAGAATTTCCTCCTTGATCCTCACAGATTCTCAAGACTCTGCGCTTCTGAGTTTTTGATGTAGATAATACATTTAATAGGTCATACACATATTCATTATAAATTTCACAAAAGGAAATCCACACAGATGCTTGTGTTCTTGGGTGTATATTAGTCCTATATATGTCAAGTGGAACAAAGTTGTTCTCTGCTAAGCCAAAACAGAGAAAAAGTTCAATGATGAAACAACTCATTGATAAATTTTAATTGCAGTAAATAGGACCTTTTAAAAGGAGGCTTGTACATCTGTGTTGTACGATGACATACACAGTACTGTATGACTTTGAGCTTACCCAAGAACATCTCAGCAGTCTCCTGTAACTCAAGTTTTAAGATATTGCTCTTCTCTACCACAAGCTTCTAGCAGCTGATACATTAGCTTTGCAGAACTAAGCCTCCCTCTTACTCCAGAAGGAGCAAAGCTATCAAAATATTTTTGCATTGTTACTCTTTCTCCCCAGTTGAGCCATTAATATTTGGTTTAAAACTGTATTTACTTTGTAGTATAGATATTTTTAAATCCAGTAATAGTGACCCACTTTTATTCCTAAATTTCTCCCCCCCCACAAAAATATTTCACTTTACCTAGGGAATCAGAAGGAAGTCTTTTTGAAGTACAGTTGGAAGAAACTGACTCCACACCACATGTATTTATAATACTATTGGAGATGTTTTCTGTCTCCTTCAGGAAATAAGAGACTGTTAGATCCACATGAACAGACTATGAGGACAGCAGAAGTAAAAAGTGGCAGTAATTCCTGCATTTAAGATTTAAACACTTAAGTAGTATTAAGTGTTAAGTCCCCCTTCTCTGGCTTCAAATGAAACATTTTTAACAATACCAAACTAAAATCAATAAATGCTCTTCCCCTCACGAGAATTACTGCTCTCTGCTGCTCCCAGCAACCTGTTTTGGAGGCCAGTTGCTGCTAACATAGTAGAGTTACTTTACAGTCCTGGCACCTCAAGACCTTCTGACAGAATACAACAGCCTAGAATGCCTTTATGAACTACTGGGCAAATCTAAAAATATTTCAAAATATTTTCAAAACAACTGGAGAAGTAACTTTCTTTCAGGGACAGATGGCAGGGTGGTAGGCAACAGAGATAATTTGCTTGCTTGTTGTCAATTTTGCAAATTGCACTCTCATGCCAGGTCTGTAAGAGTTACTTAAAGACCACAGACAGAGTGAAATGACGGTTCATAAAGGACTTAAAGGTCTGATAAACCAACACAGTTGGTTTAATTCTGAATTAAAAGACCATTACAAATCCTGTACAAGAAGCAGCACACTTTCTTTAAACACACCCATTTGCTCTATGTCTTTACACTAACAAAATTATTTCAAAACCTGCCAAGACTTGTCAAATCATAGGCTTTAAATTACCATTAGGAAAACTGGTGTAATGAAGTGGCAACTCCCACTATTTAGAGATTCCAACATCTCCACATACTACCTCCCTCCCCATATTTTATACACAGATATAAATTTTCATTAGGACATTCACCATGAATTACCAAAATAGAGGGTCATTATACAGTAGAAGAGGGGAACAGAATCAAAGAAAAAAACTTTAATGCTCCAGCCATTAAAATGCAGTGCTAAGTTTGTTATTAATTTTCTACTAATGCCTATGTTATTCAGTTGGTATATCCAACTTTTACAAACAAAACTATGAAGCCATACTTTCAGATCTTCCATTTTAAAGGTAAATAGCATATGGGTTTTTTGGTCCTTTATTCTATAAATTAACATTTTGTAAGTACTTTTATATTGCTTCAGTAGTTACAAGTATAACCACAAACATGGATTCTATTCATTTTGTTTGTAAAGTACAAAGCAAAATTCTAAGGCAGGGAAAG